TTTGCCGCAATTAATGAAATATCAGGTGGGGAAACTGAGTCATGGGGAAATTAAAGCAACTTGCCCAAGGGGGCCCAGGAAGCGACTCCCCATCTCCTGAGTCCCTGCCTTGGCAAACGGCTCAACAGAAACCGCTGATTAGCCTTTTTTTTTTTTTTAATGCCTCTTGCGAAATGCAGAGCTGAGTCAGTGTGGTGGTCAGCTGGGCTGGGTTGTTGGCGTGTCTGGTCATGTGGCAGGTGAGGTCAGGCTCTGCCCTGACTTGTGCAGAAATTCTGCTGACTTAGCGTGTGACGTACCGGGGCGCCTTCCGTCACACGCCCCCTGCCCTACTTCGGGACTGTCTGGGTTGTGACCTCCGCTCCCTCTGGGTTTTCCTGCTGAGCTTTGAGGCTGAATTTTACGCATTTCCAACACCTCCTTCCTGGTGCCCAAAGCATGGAGCAGATGCTACCTACGCTCATGGTGCAAGATGCAACCCATGCGCTCTGCTTCTCCCACAAAACATCTTTGCCTCTCCTGATTTCCCCACCCCGGTTAGAAGTGACCTCAAATCCAAGGGCAATTTAATTGGCATGGTAGATTTTTAAATTCAGGCCGGTGGCACATGTGCCAGGTGGCTCAAGGCCGTTGCTGATCTGGTAGGGGTTGTACTTACACCGAAGCGTGTTGGACTGATGGAGGCTGGGAGACTTACGGTGGCCTTTGTACGTGGCAGTAGCCAGCTTTCCCCCCCCCTCCCCCCCCCCACACACACACGTTGAGCAGATTGGGAACCGGAATGGCCACGCCCGGGGAGGTTGACACTTGGAATAAAAAAAAAACTTCTTTGGCATCAGAACAAAAACATGTATCCTGCACAATGGAAATTCCAAAATATTTCCGCTTGGGAGCAGTGAAACCCGCTCTGGATCCCTTTCACTTTCACTTTCATATAAAACGGGTTTGACTTTTTCCTGTTTGGGAAATTTAGTTGAAATCCCCTTGTTTCTGTGCCGTTCAGTGGATGCTGGTTAGTTGCAACCGCTCCATTCCCAGCAAAGCGTTGTTAGCCGGAGGTTGCCAAGGAGTGAAAGGCCCCTGCCTGGGACAGCAGATTGGGGTGGCAAGGGGCCTGCCATCTGCACAGGAGGTAACGTAGGAGTCCCGTCGCTGTGGAGTGGGAGGGGAGGCCAGTGGGGGGGGGGGCTGCAGCCTTGATACTGGTGCTTTCCCCTGGGGACGGGTGGTGGGGAACGTGGGACTGCATGGTACCTCTCCTTGTTATCTCTGGGCTGTGCCCTGCCCTGGCACCTGGCTGCTTGGGCTTGGCATGTCCCAGAGCTCCCTTCCCTGGCTGCAGCCCTACACGCCTGCCTGCAGCTGGGGCTTTCAATGGGGAACGGGGGCCTGCACGGTACCTCTCCCTGCTCAAAAACGTGCTCATATCTGACTCCTGTTAAAGTCCGTGGGCCGGGATCAGTTGCTAATAACAGAACGCTGCCTTCATCAGCATTACCGGTGCGACGCTGGCAGACCAGGTCCCCACTCATGCCAAAGCCCCAGGCCTCACTGAACGCTGACAAATGCACAGTTGGAGGCCAGGTTGGTTTACTTGTCTAAACACCAAACACAATCACATTGTGCTAATAAACTTCCTGAAAACTAGTGGGATGTCACCTGCGTTCATAGGCGCCGACTTCCTCTCTACCCGGGGGGGTGCTCGATTTCCCCCTCCACCCCAGGCCCCACCACCTCCCCACTCGCCACAGAACAGCTGTTTGCAGCAGGTGCTGTGCGGGAGGTGGGGAGCTTGGCTGCTGGTGGGTGTTAAGCACCCGCTAATTTTTGTGTGTGTGTTTGTGTAACACTGACAGACCCAGGTTGTCCGCAGGCGGGGACCTTTGGAGCTAAATGCATGAGTCTCTACTGCATGAGCTAAAAGCCACGTGGCTCTTAGCTAAGGCTGTAGAGCAGACTCATTAATCTCTCTCTCTAAGTGGTCTCGGTGCCACTAGGTGGGACAGAACCCCACACCCAGCAGGAGTGTGGGTTACAGGTGCTCCAGCCCTGGAGGACCCATGGAGTCGGTGCCTATGCTGGTGTTGTTTTCACTTCTCTGTCTCCCGTTATAATGGAGCAGCGAACGTTTCCACAGCGTGTACCTCTGTCTACGCTGGCAATTGAACAACAAAACTTTTGTCTTTCAGAGGTGTTAAACCCCCTCCCCCCCCGAAAGACAAAAGTTTTGCCTCCACAAGTGCCGGTGTGAACAGCGCGTGGTCGACAGGATAGCCGACAAACGGTGGCTACACTGCACGACTTTTAGCGGCTTGGACACAGCCATGTCGCTAAAAGCTGTGTAGTGTGGGCATCGCCTTAACCTCTCAAAGGAGAGAGAAGCCTTGAGAATGCAAATGAAGAACTTTAATGGGAAATGTCACTTTCAAAGCAAGTGGCCATTGTGTGTAATGATCGGAGATAAGACTCTAAATCAGGGGTCCCCAACACGGTTTCTGCAGGCGCCATGGCACCCGCCCAGGCATCCGTGTGCGCCCGCCTACTGGCCGCCGGACAAGCAGCCGCCGAAATGCCGCCAAGAAGTGGCAATGTCAAGAAGTGCTACCGCCGAAATGCCGCCGATTTTCGGCGGCATTTTGGCAGCGACACCTCTTGATGCTGCTGCTTCACGGCGGCATTTCGGCAGCTGCTTGTCCAGCGGCCACAGTCCTCGGTGGCTAGTCGTCCGGTGCCTGCCCCACAGAAAAGGTTGGGGACCACTGTTCTAGATGCATTTCTCACTCTCCTTCCTCAGAGCCCACCTGTGGGTAGTGGCCCTGGTAGCTTGTTTTCTGGGAGAAGATGATAGAAGTGACAAAGAGTCCTGTGGCACCTTATAGACTAACAGACATATTGGAGCATAAGCTTTCGTGGGTGAATATGAATGCGTCTGACGAAGTGGGCATTCACCCACGAAAGCTCATGCTCCAATACGTCTGTTAGTCTGTAAGGTGCCACAGGACTCTTTGTCGCTTTTTACAGATCCAGACTAACACAGCTACCCCTCTGAAGATAGAAGTGTGGATTCAGGGAAAGATCCTTGTCTCTAGGCGGTTTGGATTCTAACGGAGCAGAATAACTGCACGAAACGAGGGAGATCCCCAGAGTTATTCTGGGTAGCTCTGAGAGGCTTTTGGGAAACGGGCAGATTGCTACAGCTCCACTACCCTTTGGGATGATAGACTCTGACTCACCTGTGCAGGTATTGTACCTGCTTTAACCCCTCAGTAACTCACTTTTTCTTTGCTAATAAACCATTAGTTAGTTAACACTGGTAGCCCGTTCTCGAGTAGTCTTTGGTGTAAGATCTGTGGTACCAAATGATGGGCGGTAAGTGACTGGTCTCTTCGGACTGGGAGCAACCTGCTGTGGTGTGGTTTTTGGTGTAAGCGACCATTGATCACGAAGGCCAGTATGTCTGGGTGGCGAGATAGACTGGAGAGGCCGAGGGGCGTGTCTGTGACTCCATGGTAAGACTGGTCTAGTGACCCAGGAGTTCAGATTTCCCCAAGCCAGTAACTAATGTGATTATAGACCACCCCACCCATTTGGGGTGTCTGCCCTGTTTTCCGACAGTCTGCTGGAGGTGGGCACTCACGGTCGCGAGCCGCTCCAGACAGCTAGTAACCGGCATCCACTGCACGAGACTGCATGTGTTTTCCACGGAAACGTTTTGAGCAGCTCTGCCCCTGGGAAGGGTGAAAACATGTGTGGCGAATCATGGGCTCTTGAAGATGGGGAGGCTGGAAGCAGGGTACAGAGTGTTTGCCCTGCCACTAGTTACCACCCTTGTTTTGTGGATAAAAGGGCCTTGGCTTCTCCGGCTGCTAACTCAGCTCTTCTCAGCAGCTCAGTGATCTAAGAACAAAGCCCTGGAAACATCCCCTTTCCCCACATATCAAACATCCCTTCCCCGGTTAGGCAATCCATCAGGCAATGGATCCCTGAACCTCCCTGCCTCTGTGTAATGACCTGGGTGTCGACCTTGTGAAATCCTCAGCTAAGCTAGCCAGGTTTATCTTGCCTCTCTGATGTGCGGGTGTCTTGGGGGTGGAGGGTGGGTGTTAGGTGCACATGGGAACTAATTAAACTGCTGGCAAGACAGATCCATCCCTAGACCGGTCACCCACCTCTCCTGGTCTCCATAGTCTAGGAACAGACTGGGAGTCCCGCAGAGGCAGGCCCTAAAGCACATCAGATCACAGGATAGAAAGTTAGTTGCTGAGACCTTGGGTCTGAATTGCAGCCACCTCTGGGGTGGAGGTGGTTGTGCCAGTGTTGGAGGGGCAAGGGAGACCATCGGCTTGAAGCAACCTCCTCCACGGAGCAGGTAGAGCCTCGAACATAAGACCGGCTCGGCCCTGCGTCTTTCCAAGGCAGAGAAGTCGCAGCAGCCAGGATTCTGATCTGTCGCATGGGGAGTGGCTGAAATCCAGAGCTGGTGCCTAGATCCCAGAGCTGTTCCCTCTCTCGTTTGGCGTAACTGGATGCTGGGCCGGCAGTTCCCGCTGAGCAGCGCACCTACTGGCAAGGGAGGCTGCAGCTGAGCGTGGACGTGGCATAGAATGAACATGATGGGGGAAGGAAGCTAATCACGGGCCCTTGTCTCTCCCTGCCCGGCATCTGTGTAACATGGGTGTGACCGCGTGGGGCAGGGGGAATCGGGCCCAGGATCAGCCTCGCATCCCGGGGCAAAGGCAGTGCCGTTTCATAGGGGAAGAACGCTCTCCCCTTCCTGTCCCTGGCCCGCAGCTGATGCAAACCTCCTGGGCAGCTGATGGTGCGGTTCTGAAAGCTGCCCTTGGACAAACAGGGCTGGGTTGGGGCTGGCCCCAGGGCTTGGACACTGGGGCAGAGGAGTAGCCCCTCGAGCTCGCTAGCCTGTCTCTGCTGGATGCAGAAACCTGCCTCCAGATGGGTTAATGTTGGGGGGAAGGGGTGGGGAGGTGGCACAGTTGCCTACCCCCTTCACCTTCCAAAGGGCAACCCTGCCATTCCTGCTACCTCATCTCCGCGTGCACAGGATCACCTGTCTGCAAAGGGAGTGCCGCTCCCTGATTCGAGGGATCCCCCGGCTCTCACTAGACATCTCTCTTTCCCGCAACCACAACTGATCTAGTGAAGATTAATGCGGGGCTGACACCTGATTCCCAGGGGCCGAGGCTCCCTTACTCTGTCTGTTACATAGAGGTGTCCGGTTCGCCTTACTGTCACTCCCGGCCAGGGAGGGGCTGGAATCGGTGCCAGGAAACCTAAAGCTTTGTGCTAACCACTGGGCTTGCAGGCAAGTCTATGCAGCGACTGGCCAAGTGACAGCACTTGTGTCTGCAGGCTCCTTTGAAAGCAACCTTTTCCTTCCTGGGAAATATCTGCTGCTGGGGTGGTCTCCAAAGAGCGCTTTACCTTGGCTGCATGTCAGGAGTTTTGTAAACTGTAACACTGGCTGGGAACTCCTTGACAAATCCCTTTTTGGCCAGAAAAATGCTAATTTGTCAAAGCAGAACGGGTTCGCAAGACGGGGCCGGTTTGGACGACTCTCCCAACTTGGGGGAAAAGTTGCAGAAAAGTTTGGGAATTGTTCCTTTCGACCGCAGCAAGTTTCCCAGTTCAAAGTGACTTTGTTTCAGAACGTAAGCTCGCTAGGCTGAAAAGAAAAAAGAGAGCCGATCAAAATGAACCACTTGGCTTGACCCAAACAAAAATCTTTTGACGACTCGTTCGGCCACAGCCGTTGTCAAGATTTTTGTTGCGGTTCCAGTTCGGGATGGTAAAAAAAATTTAAAACTCTTGAAAATCTTCCCGGGCCGGGGAAAGCGTTCCCCGCTGAGTGTGAACTGCAGAGACGTCTGCCCCCTAAGGCAATGGCTACAAATCAGCAGCCCCTCTGCCAGCCGGCCCCAAGTGAGGGCTGGAGTGGGCGGCCCGGCTGCGGTCAGTCTCAAAAGCACCGACAGCAGCATAGGAGCTTGGGGCACTGTGCTGCCCACTGCTGGATGGTGGCCCTGGTATTGGGTGTCGCGGCCGGGGGGGATTTGAACCTGTGACTCTGCTCAATGCTCGAACAGTGTGCTGTGGCTCACCTCCGCGGCTAGAGCTCTGACAGCGTCTCAAAGCAAGGCTCTTCCCTTTGTTCCCCCGCCGGACTGAGTACGCTGCTGCTCTTAACCACTTCCCCAAATCTGCAGGCCCGTGCAGCGTGCCCAACGGCTCCCATCAAAGCGAGCTCGGTGCGTCGCTGGCCCAGACTAACTAGAACAGCTCCAGCCTAGTGATGCCGCCTGAACAAGTTGGACTTATTCTCTAGGAACAGAAATCTGGGCAGCCGAGGTGGCTGGAGTGAGACAAACGCAGTCCCGTTCTGTTCTGATTCATTGTCCGTCTAGTCCCAGTGACGTACTAGGCTAGATAAAGCAGCAGTATGTGTCCAATAGGCCAGGCCCTGTGTATTCTGCGGCAAACTCCTCAGTTGCAAAATCTATCCTTTGCTCCAGAATTGCAAGTGGCTGGTATTTATGGCTGTCAAGTAGCCCTTCCAAATGCAAACAGATGCAGTGTAGTCTTGCTGGGGTGGCAGCCAGGCTGAAACACCCCCTAAGGGAGGGGTGGATTGCCCCCTTCAGCTTGACGTGTTAACTCTGAAACCTAATGATGGCAGTGCCGCTTAAATTGCCAACTGTTTCACTGCTGATCGCTTAACAGCCATCCAGCTGATGGGTTTATCCTACACTCTCAACCCACTAAAAGCCCCAGCTGTTCCCTCCAAAAACCTCTAGCCTTCCCCCTTGCAATCTCATCTTCAGCAATGTGAGTTTTATGTTGTCAGTGCATGAACACGTAACACACGGAGAACTTGGGTGCAGCTTAAAACACATAATGTCAAAACACCTAGTGCAAAGGATACGGCACAGATTGGATTAATCCCTTTGAATTCAGTCCAGAAAACCCCTCCTAAAGCTGCTAGAGAACTTGCAGTGTGCTGACACCAGACTGCCGGGTGCTGAGCCTGAGGCCTTGATGGTAGGCCACGATGTTGCATTTGCAGGGAGCTGGACTTGACCCAAAACACTCTCCACCTCTCAGTTCTATGGTTCAGGCTGCCCAGGGTCGAGGCCAGGTTGGGTGACAGGAAGACGGCGCTTTCCCCGTCCCGGATATACCGTGAGCTGTCGGGGGTATTGAATAAAGCTCATTCGTTTATGAAATGCTGTGAGACAATCCGTGACCTCAAGCGCTTTTCTAAAGGGCAGTGGGTTGGGGGTAACCCAAGCGCTTGTCCAAACCTTTACAAATCTGAGAAAAGGGGTGGCGGGGGGAAGAATTCCTCCTGTCTTTCAACCAGCCCTAGGTAATCCTGAATAGACAGTGGGCCAGTACAAGGCTAAGACACTATCGCTGCAGAGATCAGCAGTGCTCTCCTTAGCTCCTGTCATCCGCAGATCTCCAGATCGATAACCTCCTCTCCCAGCATCCTGGGAGGCAAATATTCCCCATCAGGCCATGAAACAGCGAATAACGGCTCGGGCTGACGGAGCAAGCTGGAACCCAGGAGTCCTGGGCCCCAGGCCCCTGCTCTAATAGCTGGACCATGCTCCCAATGCGATACAGCTATGCAGACAGCTGTTTGTTTTTAAAACGCAGCACTCCCTTGGCGCCGTTTGCTCTGCACCTGCCCGGTAGGGAAGTGTCCTCGGCTGAGCCGTGTTCCTCGGTAAATACCAGAGATCCCTCCGCTTCTGTCTGCAATACTTAGAGACTCCTTTTCCTCACGGGCTGCGGAAGAACCTCGCCCCGTTACAGCCGCGCACCGGTTTCCCCCGCAGGCTAAAGGAACGGGGCCTGCCCATCTGCTCTGAAAAGTGACCGTTCGCTCGGGGGGATGCATGAGCCGGAGTAGAATCCAGCTCGCTCTGCCAGCGCTGCACAGGGCTGATGGGAGTGAGTCTGGCTAGACCCGGAGCGGATCTGGTCGGTTAGAAAGGGCTGTCTCCCGATTGTAGCTGCATGCAAGAGCCTCCGGCCCCGTCCTTCCCGCTGTTAACCCTCAGAACGCTGGTGTTTTCCAGCCCGCCAGACCTCCAGCACAGAGGTCCCCAGTCTGGGGGGGCAGGCATCCCTATGGAGGAACATTCGGGGGGGCGCAGCTGAGGCCTGGGCCAGACCCCCACAGGGGACAGGGAGGGAGCACCCCTAGCTCCGCTGCCAGCCCCATGCCCGAGATCCCGGCTGCCAGCCTCGGCCCCTCTACCTCTAGCTATGGCCCCAGCCCCCTTGCCCCTGTCTGTCCCCCCCAGCTCCTGGCCCTGGCTTGGGGGGGTGTGGACGGGGCAAGGGGAGGGCGTGAGGTAAAAGATTTGGGGACCCTGGCTTAGCGGTAGCTGGGGTCACTCTAGCACGTCCCTGGTTCATTGAAGAAAGGGGGAGAGCTGGGTTTCACTCTCTGCAGGTTTCCTATTCCAACAGTAACCCCCGCTCTGTCTCGGTTCCAGATGGGCTGACAACTTCACCGCGGGGGGCTGCGGCGGGAGTGCAGAGCACAGCTTCCAGCATCCCTTCCTCCAGGTACGGCCGGCGCCCGGCGGGGCCGTGGGTTTCGCCAGGGGGACGGAATCGGGGGGGCGCACGCACACCCCCCTCGTGGCGGATCTCTCCTCCCAGCCCCTCTTGGGGGGAGGGGAGATGAACCCAACTCTGCGGAGCCCCAGGCCAGCATGTTGACCACGCTTCCTCCCTGGCCCACCCTGCTGGCAGTGCCTTTCAGGAGCAGAGGGGGTTATTCTGGGGAACAGGGGTGTCATGTCCTCCCCGCACCTCCCCATCTCTCCACCCCTTCCTGGATCAGCAGGTTTGCGCAGCAGATCGTATAATATTTTAAGCTCTGGCCTGTCCCCGCCATCCAGCGGCGCCGGGATCCACTGGCCCAGCTGGAGAGGAGGCTCCAGTTTGGGACCGAGGGGGCACTGCTGGAGCTGTGGGGCGGCAGAGCTTCCTGGGTCCAGGGAACAGTCCCTGGGTGAGGAGCTGCGGTTGCCCCCGGAGATCCCAGCACCCAGTGTCTGCCGAGCCGCCTCCCCAAGCGCTGCCGTTACAGAGCGGCTGTGTCCGTGTTTCAGGCCGTGGGAATGTTCCTGGGCGAATTCTCCTGCCTGGCTGCCTTCTACATCCTGCTGTGCAGGGACCGGCACAGAGCAGAGCCCAGCCTGGCCCCCGCGCAGCCCTTCAACCCGCTGCTCTTCCTGCCCCCGGCGCTGTGTGACATGACCGGGACCAGCATCATGTATGTGGGTAAGTGCTGGGGGCTCCGACGCGGCTCCGGGCCTGGGGGGCGAAAGGGGGCACCTGATACGCAAGGGGCAAGTGGAGTTGTCTTTAAAACTCTGTGAACCGTCACGACTTTTTGCAGGTGGTCCTTCCTGGGGGGTTAACCCCCCCCCCCCAGTTTGTTTTTTAAAAAGGCAAAGAAAACCCCAGCTTTGAACCCGGATTAAAAGTGTCACTTTTCATTTGGAAACTGCCCCCTGTTACTGAGCCAACCAAACAAAATTGGCAAGGGGGGAGGGGAGGGGAAAACCCCTGATTTCCCCCACACACACACACACACATTGCTCATCTGTTTTGCAAAGAACAAACCAACAGGCCACCAAGCAATGTATGTTCCCCTGTCAGCTCTCCAGAGATTACGCCTTCTCTCGGAGTGAGGCCTGCTTCCTGTAGGGGGTGCCCTCTCCTAGGTGGGCAGAAACTGAAGTTATCTTAAGTACTTATCTGGCCCCGTTACTGTAGTGTCTGAGCACCTCACACTCCGCAATGCAGCTTTCCTTGCGACCCCTCTGTGAGGCAGAGCTATTAGCTCTAGTGTACAGAGGGGAAACTGAGGCACAGAAGGGCAGCGACTTGCCCACAGTCACACAGGGAATCTGGCGGAGCTAGGATTTGAACCCTGGCCTCCTGATTCCCAGGGTAGCCTCCTAACTTTGTCACGGTCCTTCCTCTAAGCTAGCCATTCCCCGAATCATCTGCTTTGACCACTTCCTTCCTCCAGCCAGTCCGCAAATGGCTAAGAAGCTCTGATGGTCCGATGTCCTTTTATGTAAATAATCAGTTTTAATAAACCCCCCTTAGAAACTCAGGGCCCGATTTCCCCACTGCCCGGCACCTTGGCCATCCTCATTCACCCCCGTGCAGAGTGGGTGGGATATGCCGTGAGGTGCGCTCGCTTTGCCCAGCTGTAAGTAACACAAGGGGCAAGATGGGGGGGAATGGGCTTTAAAACCAGGGGCACGAATCTCTTTCTGGCTACTTCTGGACCGAGTGGTGTGAGGAGATTTTTGGCCGGGGGGCACTGACCCAGAGCCGCGAGAGAAGGCTCTGAAAGGGGTTCTCGCTCAGCTGCGCGGTCACGTTAAAATCAGGAAATAAAACCATCCACCACAAAACACAAGCTGTCCTACCCACAAGCAGAGGGGGTGGGGCCTTTTCCACAAGGTCTCAGCACAGAGCTCACAGCTCCAATTAAAGTCACCTGCAAAAACTCCGTGGCTGGGAGCAGCGTGGAGCCGGCGACCCCCCCCCCCCCCCCCCCGCATGATGGATGAAGCAGTTAATTGTGAGCACGTCAAAGGAGACATCACTCAGACTGAGGCTGATTAAATCCTATGTAATGGCCGGTTATTGTGTTCTCCGGCCACATTCTCCCGCAGGCTGGAGCCATTCGAGGGAGGGGGAGCGTGGGAAGCTTTGAATGCAGGCTGGAAAGGAAGCTGTGGCTGAAATATTCTGCCTGGGCACAATCGCTCCCTCCATGCCTCCCCGATTTAAAACACCTCAATGTGCTGCATTTTGGGGGGGGCAAGAACCAGGACCCCTGTCTGTGATAAACCAGAGCTCTAGTGTTTGAGTTGGAGGAGACGCTCTGCAAGCTGTACTGGTATAAAGGCTTTTATCCTCTGGGCTTCCAGCCACAAGAGGGCGACGTCGTCACCCACCCACAAGCTACTCTGCAGGGGTACGAGTCCCTTGCGTAATGAGCTCCTAAAATGGCCGGGTCTGGAGACAGCTGGCAGGACAGGAATAGCAGGGGGGCTGGGGTGCATCTGGGGGGGGGGGAATGGACTAGCTGGGGGGTCAGGACTGAGGCGCGTCGGGTCCGGCAGCTCCACTCACAAGCACGTTCTCCCGCCGTAGCCCTGAACATGACCAGCGCCTCCAGCTTCCAGATGCTGCGCGGGGCGGTGATCATCTTCACCGGGCTGCTCTCGGTGGCCTTCCTGGGCCGCAAGCTGGTGCCGAGCCAGTGGCTGGGGATCCTGGTCACCATGGCCGGGCTGGTGGTGGTCGGGCTGGCGGACATGCTCGGCACCCGCGACGAGACGCACAAGCTGAGCGAGGTCATCACAGGTACGTGGGGGGGGTCCCGGAGCAAGGCTGGGGCGGGGGGGAGGGGAACGTCCTGGGAGGGCCACGAAGGAATCTGAGAGGGGGCTGTCACTGGGGATAGATTTTCCGAGTGGGACTGGCTGCGGGGATGCGGGTCCTGAATGCAATAGATTCCTGCTCCAGTTACGCCACCCGGAGGGTGGGGGGGTCTGGGACGGGGCTGTGTCTGGAGACCCCCACGTTCTCTCTTCCCCGTCCCCCTCCAGGTGACCTGCTCATCATCATGGCCCAGGTGATCGTCGCCATTCAGATGGTGCTGGAGGAGAAGTTCATCTACAAACACGACGTGCACCCGCTGCGGGCCGTCGGCACGGAGGGTAGGTGGCAGCTGGGGCTGGGTGGGGGGAACCCCATACTGGGTGCTAGGAGGAGGAGGGGGAAGCGGCTCTGATGCCCTGTGGGCAGCTCTGGGCTACTGACTCCGAGCAAGGAGCCTGCAGCGGAGCCCTCTTGCCACTCCCGCTGGGAGACGCAGCGGGCGGCGTCCTGCATCCCAGCCTCCGAGGCTGGCGCTAGACTGCGGGGGCTGAAGCTTTTATGGGGGGCACCTGAAGTGTCCCTGTCCACTGAAGACATGGGGTCCGGGATCTGTGCCCAGGCAGCAAGGGCAAACTGGCAGCTGGTGGGAGGGGAGCAAGGGTCTCCACCACTCCAGTCCAAGGGAATGGGGCTGGGGGTGCTTGGAAGAGCTGTCTTTTAGCCAGGCTGCTTTCCGTGTGTCTGAAACAGCGGCGGGGGTGGATACTGCAGCAAGGGGGCGGAATATAGCGCGGCTCTAGGGGAGGCCTCCTTAAACCTCCGTGGTTCATTTCCCGTCCCTGCGGCTCACTTGTGCCTGGCGGGAGGGGCGACTAGATCCTGCGTGACCCTGAAAAACTGCAGCTTTCTCCTGAAATCCATCCCCCAGCAAATCCCGGCTCCAGCGTTCAGGGGCCTCGGATGGGTTCCCGGGGAAGGAAATGCCACGTGTTAAGGGGGGGATTTCTGGGGAATGAGCCCCAACCAGCAGCGCCTGGTTTTTCTGCACCGCCACCCCCTGCCTTGCTCCCTCCCAGGTTTCTTTGGCTTCGTCATCCTGTCCCTGCTGCTGATCCCCATGTACTACATCCCGGCGGGCAGCTTCGGCGGCAGCCCGCGGCAGGTGCTGGAGGACACGCTGGATGCCTTCTGCCAGATCGGCCGCCAGCCCCTCATCGCCCTGGCCCTGGCGGGCAACATCAGCAGCATCGCCTTCTTCAACTTCGCCGGCATCAGCGTCACCAAGGAGATCAGCGCCACCACCCGCATGGTGCTGGACAGCCTGCGCACCGTGGTCATCTGGGCCGTCAGCCTGGCCGTGGGCTGGGAGACCTTCCACGGCCTGGAGATCCTGGGGTTCCTCATCCTCCTGACCGGCGCCGCCCTCTACAACGGCCTGCACCAGCCCCTGCTCGCCAGGCTGCCCTGGCGCCGGCCCCCAGCGGGTGCCCTGGGCTCTGAGGCCGAGAGGGAGAATCTGCTGGGAGGGGAGAGGGCACCCATCAACGGGGACAGCTGAGGAGCCGGACTCCATGGGGTATGGACGCCAGATCCCAGCACCCCTTCATCCCCTGGCACGGGCTGGGACACCGGAGCCCGCCTCTCTGTACTCTGTTGGCTCTACTGGGCCTCAGGCGTTCTGGGCATGGCTCCTCTGGGGCTCGATCCAGCTCCTCCGGGATGGGAGGTGGGATTCGGAGAGTGAAGGTCACTAGAGGTGCTCCCCTTCCCTATTAAAATGCCTCTGCCCATCCCCCGAGGAGGCCCTGCCATGCCACCGGCGCACCTGGGTTATCCACCCCTTTCTCCCAGGAGGTTGCAGTGACATCCTGTTCTGTGGGTCTCCCCTGACCCCTGCCGCCTGCCTGGCTGCACGACCCAGGGCTGTGCCAGGATGGGTTTATGGACCAGCACCGGCGAATGCACATCAGACCGATGCTGGGAGCTGCTGCCTCTGAAGGAGACACCTGGGCTCAGGGCCGGGCATGCACTTGTTGGTGACCTTCATCGGGGGGCATCTTTACCTTCTCCCCTGCCCCCCAAGGAGGAAGACTTGCTCTACCCACCTAGTTCCTGCTCCACCTGCAGTGTCTAACGGTGTAACTGGAGGAAACCGTTCTGCCAGGCTGGTGGGACAGGCCCACGACCCCTCTTCTGTCCCACTTGCAGATGGAGCCCGGCGGAGCATTGGTTACGGCCGTAAACCCTGGAAGCTCTTTGCCTTGGCCGTCTCCTTACACAGAGCTGAAGCCGTCTGCAGGGTGGGGCCCTGTTTGCTGCACCCAGGGTGGCATTGGGGGATTTTAATGCTGCCCGTTGCCTCCACCGGCCCCTGGGTGCTGGGCTGCTGGGGGCCAGTGGAGCATAGGTGGGGGGCAGGGGCGTGCTGTGCTGTGTGCAATTCCACACGTGTGTGCAAGGTGTGACCTTGTGCAGACAGTGTTTGCAAGGTCACGCAGGGCGCCATTTTGTTCTACAAAATGGCGTCCTCCCTGCGGGGGCTGGGTGGAACTGGCCGTAGGGCTGGAGCACGCAGTGTGTACATAGGCTGGTTCACTCCCTGCTCCCTCTGTTGATGGGACGCTCCGTGGGCTCTCACGCCAGGCAGGGAGCAATCGAAGCTGCTGGACTCACACCAGCCAGGGCGGTCGCTGCCTTACTCACGCTGCAGCGGGGGAGATACAGGCCTGGCCTGGCCGGGGGGGCGCATGCTGCCAGGGGTTGGGGAGAAGCCTGGGCCTTGTCTCCCTCTTACTGGAATCGATCACCCCCCTGCTGGGGCTTCCTCGGCCTGCTGCAGTCAGGGTTGTTCTCTGTTCCCAGCCGTGCCTGGGCCTGCTGGCCAGCTTCCCCCTCCCGCCTCCTCCCATGCAGAGCTGAGCCTTTACAGGGGCTCCCCGGTCCCTCAGAGTGCTTGAACTGGCCCAGGGCCTCGCCACGAGGCACCTCCCCGTGCCCGTCCTGATTGCTTTCCCTGCCCCTTCCAGTGCAGGAGGGAGGTGGTCCCATTTCAGAGCCACCGTGCCTGTATTCCCCCTTCGGCGAGGATGCCCGCTCTCTGCCCCCAGGCTGCTACCGCTCTGGGATGGAGACCCCTCTCTCAGCACAGCCAGGCTGCCCGGGCAGGCCTGCTTGCTTTCCCCGCCGAGCCGGTTCCCAGGGACTGCCATAGTTCTGGCAACCCCACAGCACTTCCTCTGCTGGCCTGTTTTAGGGTTCAGGTAAAGGCACCGCAGAGAAACCATTACAAGACCCTGCATGCACAGCTCACCCCACCCGTCACATGGGCTCTGGGCCCTTCACCCCCACACTCCAGGGGTTTCTGGGTGGTGTCTAGCTCGTCACAGCTTCAGCTCACACCAAGCACCCCGTCTTACGGGGCCTGGTCCTCCCACCCCTTCCTTGAGGATTGGGGCCCGCTGTGGACCAGAGGTCCTGTCTGGGCTGGCTCCGGAGGAAGGCCCTGTGTACCTTTAAAACCAAGTTATTTATCCAGAAATCCTTTCTTTGGCCCCTGGAGAATGGAGTTTGAACTTGTCTTGCGTTTCTCCCCGGGGGCTGGCTTCAAAGGGCTGATAACTGGAGGAATTCGGGTAGCATCCCCCTTCCAGCTGCACAATTGCATGTTTAACACAATGGGCCCCGTGGTATTAACCCTCCCTCACTAACGTTTAACTCACTTCAGTAACGTGAATCTGACTTCCCCAAGGCTTGTCCAGGATACTGCAGAACGGGGTTAGGCTGTAGGGAGCTGAACGGGTGGTGAGCCTGGGTTCTCTCTCTTCGCTCTCCTCTGCATTTCTCCTCCCCAGCCCGCTAATTCCCTCCTTCCCATGCACCCTCCCAACCGCCAATAAAATTCCAAACTTTTCTCCCTTACACAATGGAGTAAAAGCAGCCCCATCTCTCTCCCTCTAGCCACTGGCATGTGCCCCCTCTGCCCACCTGCTTTCCTGGTCTGTTTGCAGGGCTCAGGCCAAGTGGGCACCACCTGGCTTCTGCCACCAGGCCATGAGCTGATCTGCCCTGTTGTAGTGCATGCAGGGTGGGATCCTCCATCCGCAGGCCCCAATCAGCTCTGGTAGCTGATTTCCTTCCAGGTAGCCAGGTGCGTGCAATCCCCTACGGACACCCTCCACCCCCCGCATGCCAGCAGCATGGCAGACTGGTACCGAGAGGGCCGTGCCCGTATTTGGGGCTGCTATGATGGATGTTACATCCCCCAAACCTTCCAGCTGCATGGACATGCGCACTTCCAGCGCATCCCCGGGGAGAGGAGGGGGGCAAGAGGGGAAGAGAAGCTGCATCCAGGGCCCGCTGGGCTCCTATGATGTGGAACTGCAGCCCAGAGAAACTAGCGTCCGTGGTGCCGATGCTGAGGCAAAGCACGGCCTGGCTGGGTTGGCAGAGATGCCCCCCGTTAGCCTGCAGAGGTGCCATGCCCTGTGTACCTTGGCTGGACAGGGCACTGGTGCTGCGTCCCCATGCCACCAGCTGGGGGCACTGCACACTGAGCCTGCAGCAGGCGCTCAGATGTCAGGGTGATGGGTGGCTGTTGAAGACCCTAGGATGGAGGCTGCAGCAGAGGGTCCTGGAATGTCCCATGTAATGCAATGCTCTGCACAGCAGTGTCTGGGGCCCTTTCCCTGTATCAGGGACCCCCACCCCCATCTGCTGCAGGCGGTGCTCCCAATCCGACACCACTTTCCTCCCAGGAAGAAGCATGGGGAGGTCATGACAGGGAGCTGGGGGCTTGGGCTTCCTTGCAGAGTTGTGGGAGAATGCACCCCTGTGTGCAATGGCTTGGGGGGGGGGGGATTTGGCCCTGGGGAGAGGGCCAAAGGAAGGCAGATGCACAAATGAAGTCCTGCTTACGGGGCTGAAGTGGGACTTGGATGCTGCCTTGGTCTTGCACTGGCCCTCGACCCAGGGCTGAATTCCTCCCCTTCCCCATGGAGGAACCCGTCGCTAGGTGAAGGGGGGACTTCTCCACTGACCCACAAGAAGGTGCCCCTGCCATACCACGTAGCCCCCTTCTCCTAGGAACTCCCTCTGCAGTGTCTAACTCAACAATTCACACATGTGCAGGCAGTGCAGCTTACTCAGGTGGTGCTTGGAGCATCTCCTATCAGGATTGTGGCCCTGTTACGCTAGGTGCTGTACAGATCCTCAGGGAGAGAGAGCCGCTGGCCTGAAGTGCTCATGCACTAAGTATAAGGTAGGAGGCAGCAGGCGAATACAATGATCAGGATGAGCAAGGAAACCATAAGCTAATTAGGAGAGGATGGCTGAGGGGTTTGGAAGACAGGAGTTCAAGTCTTCACTCTGACATAGATTCCCTGCAGGCACTTGATATACACTTAGCCTTTCTGTGCCTCGGTTTCCCCTTTGCAAAATAGGAGTGATCGCGCCCTACCTCACATTTCAGTACAGCAAAGATTGTGCACGTGTGTTTCGGTTTAAAGATCATGAGATACTCAGGTGCCATGGTGGTGGGAGCCTTATAAAATATGTAGGCTTGGAAGGGTTAGATTTATGTCAGGAAACATCAATTTCACCAGACTCACACAAACTGAGCAAACAATGTTTTCATCAGTCATCAAAATTTACACATAGTCAAAGTAAGAAAAATGCTGCTTGAAAACTTTCAATTAGAGTGAAAATCCAGCGCTTCAGAGTTTTGAATTAGGCTGGTTACAAATGGCCGCGTGAATGAACAATAAAACCAGATTTGCTTTGTTGATTTAAGGATCGTTTCGATGTGTATTTTGACATGTGACGTTGACAATTTGGGTTTGAACAGTATACAGCTTTCACTTGAATCTTGCTATTAACTGACATTAAATAATTGCCGGCCCCTCCCCCCCATGATTTCCCACAACTGTGAACCTTTAAATTGATAAACATCAAAAAATGCTTCAGAATAAAACAGAGATTAGCCACTGAAACTACAAAGCTAAAAATTAAATTCTGCCAAGCCTAAGAATGTTTGTGGCGTCGATGTAGCTCTGTTGGTCCCAGGATATGAGAGAGAGAAAATCTTTTGTTGGGCCATCTGTTGGGAAGTACGAGCTTTTGAGCTTCACAGAGCTCCTGTACAGGTCTGGGGAAGGTAACCAGCGGGTCTGAGCTAAATACAAATTGGGACAGATTATTGGTTCGCACGCTGTAGGACAGCGGTTCTCGACCAGGAGACCCATGGCGGAAACCTGAGCCCCAGCACCCCCATGGGGCTGAAACTGAGACCCTTGGTGTCCCTTAGAGGGCTGAAGCCTGGAGCTGCCGGGCTGAAGTCCCGAGCCCTGGGGCCCCCCGTGGGTCTCAAGCCTGGAGCCATGGAGCTGAAATGAGCCTCTCCGCTTCATGGGGCTAAAGCTGGGGAG